TGTAAGCGGATTACTTATTTCAGATTGTATACTCGTTCTGCGCAACGTCTGCCACGGTTAGCGCTTATCCTTTTGCAATATACATCTGTGTATCTCGATGTCTTAGAGTCTACGTCTCTATATAGTCTGATAAGTGCATCTAAAATGCGTAACCACACCTCCTTCCCCGCCCTTTCCCTCGTCTCGTCTTGCCTCGTCTCATCTCGTCTCGTCTCGTCTCGTCTCGTCTCGTCGTGGTGGTTGATAAACCCTGTGCGCAGAAGCTTGTACCAGCAGGTACGTCGGCTTTACAATATTCAAGCGTGTAATCCTCCTACAATATTTCGGTCTTTCATTCCTTTTTCTCAACTTTTCACTGTCGGGTTAAAAATGCTGCATCCGTTAAATCCTCTTTCAAAATTTACGTCATATATAATAGGATCGAAAATATATGCATACATATATATGCATACAAAATATATGCATACATACATATATATATATATATATATGGCACCGATAATATAAAAAGATTATACGGTATAATGGTGAAGTAATGAGATAAAACCCCCCGCTGCTTGAGATAATTCAACTAATTTTGACATATTACAGCAGGTATTTGATATTTCGAAACCTAATCTTTGTGTTTAATCTGACTCTCTAATTAAAAACTTTTATCACTACCCACATACATACGCATTCGCTCGTGTGACATTCGCTAAAGGTGACACAACGTACCTTAAATCTGTAAAAGGCTAGATATCGTTGTACGTGCAAATAGCACGAATGAGCGAATTAATAAAGAAACACATAACCGACAAATAGTGAGTGATATGCGTGTATTAAATCGCCAGTGAATTCGCATGTAGGAGTTTTACGCCCCGTGCTCTTGGACTCGATTAATGCGCTTCATCGCATCGCAAAATCTACTTTAGCTCCGTTACGCTTCGGACTACATGCATGAAAAAGTCTCTACACGCGAAATTATCGGAAAATTGTGCGTCCAGTTCCACTTCGCTAACGGAGACTCATTATACCAGGCGTATTCTTCATCAAATTACGTCGTTATTTTAATTATCCGCTTTTACCGTTTGATTTGCGCAGAGGTTTCTACAACTAGCGGCCTCAACCAAGAAAGAAAAGAATCCGCGTGAGAAAAACAAGTGTGCCAGAAGTGTGTGCAATAATAAATGTCTCTCGCACTCAAGCGTTCATTCTCGGGAAGATTGATGTTGCTAAGTTACATTAGGTTTTCATGTCGCATGTCTGATCGAAATGTTACGTTCGTTCACCCGATATCGTTCTAATTTCAGTCAAAAGCACTGTGACGCGCGGCGCATTTTCAAACTCCGTGCAAAAATAACGCGCTCGAGCGTGGCGCTGCCTAGCCTTCGAACCGCCAGCAGCGGGATCAATAAGTTTCAAGCACGGATTTGTTCGAAACTCAGGGAAATCCGCAAAAATAAGCTTTCCGATGGTGGGAGCACGGACGCATCCGAACGTATGCATGCACGTCTATTTCGGAAAAATATAATCGCAGTCGGATTTACTTTCGACAACTAAATAATACAATCGCGACGTCGAAATGCTACGCGAAAAGAGTCTTAATCTGATCTCGCTATCTGGCACAGAATCGAGCGATGGACAATCGGTACTCTCGACTCTAGTGAAACTTTTGGAATACATCCCGCGAGAGGAGAGGCGTGTGCGCTAACGTACGTCAAACTGATGCAGCGGTTTGGCACAATACTGTTCGTCATCCTCGGATCTTTCTCTGGACTTCGCATTCGAACATTCGTAAGATATCGCATTCGAAATCAGCAGGAAGAGGCGAAAACAAATTGAGTAATATCCGCACAGTCGCATTAACATTCTGTATCGTAAAGGACGATCCGTCAATGGAGATACTACAACGGTGGGTTTCGCTTTTCGTTCGTCAGCGTGCGATCATCGCGCAGGCATATCGTTTCGTAGTTCCGTCGGCTTCGCCGAATGGTTCGAATTTCAGGGATCAATTTTGCGACGAATACAGGTACATCGAAACGCACTACGCACTCTACGTCCACACTGCGATTGTCCAGATATCCGCGCATGTAATCTTGATGGACACTCGCCGGAACGTGATATTAATTCCGAAATCCGAATGCCGGCGTTTAGTCGGGACGAATCCCTACCGGTCGACCATGATCTGAATGTAATCCACACAATTCCGCGGGAAGATTCGCAAATTATAGTCGTTTCCGACACAAAAATATGGTACACCGCTCATAATACTAGCTTCCGCTAAGTCACCGAGTGAGCAACATTAACCGCGATAGATATAAGCCACACATACAGCGAGGTAAGAAATTAGCGACACGAAAATGAGACAACAATGAGCTTGGATATTTTCGAAACACCTTCGCTGCATTCCCGAGTTTGTGATATAATACATTTGCGCTTTGCAATGGGAGAATAGTTGAAACGTAAATAAAGTGCCTCGGCCTTTTAATCTTCTCACGCAAGTTTGCGAACCACGTAGGCGAGTAGTTTAACTAAACGTTTAAAGCGGACGAGTACGTGCTTGCGTTGTACTTGTCGCTCGCTGTCGAAACTGCCTTAAATTTCTCGGGCAAAGTCACCGCGAGATTCATAGTGAACTCGCGCGCATAAACTTTATAATTCCATTCGGCTTGCTTATTGATTGCTCGCTTTAACGACCGGTATGTCGCGACAGTAGCCTAAAGTCTGGAAATTAACGGCAGCTCGTGCTTTTATAGCTTCCGAGTTTGCTGGAACACTACAAGGAATTACCTTCTCGGAAATGCGTGCACATTGTCGCGAGCAAGAACGATAGGAGGATAAATCCGCTCGTTTTGCGGGTTAAAATACTTATGGCTTGTGATACAAATTTTCCAATATACTAATATCGGAATACTCGAGTAAACCCGAAACGAAAATCGCGGATAGTCCTCAATTAATCGCTACCTTCTGTCTGTTAATGATTTTCGCAGTGGATAATATGTTTGTTGATGACGAAACTACGTTAATCGAGTAATTTGCAAAATAATCAGTGGTGGCCGGGGAATATCGGACTGATTTGAGTGTATCGTAGTAGCCGAATGCACAGTTTACTCGTATATTGATGCTATTTATCGCCCCGATATACGTCTTTTATGCCACGTGGCGAGCGAATTGAAGGATTTTGTCGCGCTTAGTATTATTCACGAGCCCTAATCGAGCCCGAAGTCCCATTTGCGATATCGAAATGTGCTCACACGCTCGAGAGTCACTTCAGCGCCAACGTATAGTGGATTTCTGCCCCGCAATGATAACGAGAGCAACACAATGAGTATTCAACAAGGTGGGTGAGAGTACGAATGGCGGATAATTCGGCGTGCGGTACTGTGGCGTCGCATCTCGTGGCCCCTTCTATCTCGATTCTCCAACACTTGTTGCTGCGAATGTTCACTAATATCAGCCGAAAAATTTGCCATATCATCCTCGCGCGAAGAAATTGTATTCCCCAACGAGGTCGTACCGCCGGCGCCATGAAAACCGGAGGCTTGAAATGTTCGACATCGAGAAGTAAAGACATTTGTGTGCTCATCTATGCGCATCCTCCTGAATGTCTATATGTGTTTTGGGCTTTTCTCAAATTTATATACGCACTTTATGTAGAAAATGAAAAAAATTTTAAATATACACTCTTTATGTAGAAATATAATTATCTCCATGTAATGCAATTATTTCTCGAAGCTCATGTGACACTTTCAGCCAATTAGAACAATTGCAATCGTTCAACATCGTTTCAACGGACGGGGGATGGTGCGCGGCAATTGAATTTTTTTCGATTTTCATCAGACACATGAGAGACGCAGGGAGACACCCGAGCCTGTTTTGGAGATGAAAGTGTTCGGATTCCGGTGAGCTTGGAGTATTTGTAGGAGCGACGCCGAAATCTGAATTCAATTGGCATCGTCCCGACCATCTCTATGAGAGTGAGTTTGAACATTTTGAGTAGTAATTTTTACGCACGTTAGGGCGTTACAAAGATATATTGCACCATACGTCGGCAGGTTGGTTTTCCGGATGGGGCGAGTAATTTCGCGACGCGGCGCAAGCGCGCCGCGAGGTAGTTCCGGGTCAACGGCAAGAACCCCACAGTCTAGTCGCACGACGAACGTTCAGCTGGCCTGGTGTTGCGTTGCATTACGTCGCGACGCTTCGCGAAATCGCGAGTGTCTACGCAAGTTTCTCTCTCCCCTTCCCCCTCTCTCTCTTTTTCACTTTTGTCTATTCTCCTTCATTTTCTTCTTCTTCTTCCGTCTCTCTCTTTCTTTTCATTCTCTCTCTCTCTCTCTCTCTCTCTCTCTCTCTCTCTCTCTCTCTCTCTGTCTTTCTCTCTCTCTCCCCCTTTCTATTTACCGATCCACCCCCTTCCCCACGTTATCCAACACGGTCGCCCTTCCGCGAAAGCATCGCCACCTCCGGCTCTGAAAAGTCGGAGCAACAGGACATGCGGTTGCGCGTCCTACAGGAAGGGTGAAATTCCCCGCGAAATTTTCACCGCATAAAGGAAGGCGATAAGTCGACGATAAAACGCTAGATGGTCGTCAGTGCACGTTGATCATACAGTGTTCCGCGTCTGGACTCAAAGCAATAAGGGTGCAAAGTACAACCATCGCGGGAAGAAGAAGACGCGAGAAGGACAAGGAAAGTTTGTGGTCGGGAGAAAACATCCTCGACTCGGGATCGTCTCCACTTGTAGTACTTCTTGATTGATGAAAAGTCCAGTCTCGATTACTGATATATATAAATAATAGCACATGAAAGATAATAACCACTTAATCTGAAACTGAGGGCAATTTAATAAAAAAAAAAAAGTTAAGCGAGTAACAAGAAGACAAAAAAACTGAAGATAAGAAAAATAATTGGTGGAAAAGAGAAACTGTGGTACTGTGTTTCAAGAGGAACAGACATCTACAGAAGAAGGAAGAAAAGAAGGAAAGGAGGAACAAGGAGTAGAAGAAGAAGGAAAAGGAGAAGAAAAAGGGGAAGCTAAACAATTAAGGAAGAGAGGAAGAAGAAAGTTGATAGACTCGTACGGGATCGAGCATCAACATCGGCGACGCGTTTTAAAGTGCTGTGTAACTCTATTTGTCTGGTGATGCGTGATCGAACGACTTGCCTGCGTCGACCAAGATCGGAGGCTGCTGTTACTTCTGCTACCACTCCCGGCGGTCCCATGAGTGAGCTGGTACGAAGAAGATCATCGGTCGATCTTGATGATGGGGTGATGAACGTGGATCATGACTCCTTTGGTTTACCGTGAAAATTATATGCGACAGCTTAAGTCGGTAGGTGAATCGTTCTTTTGTCTTCCATTTCTCCTGCTCTCTCCATTTTCAATATGCTTCATAAGGCACAACTTGACTAATCTTAAAATACTACACGTTTCAAATAGTAGATAATAAAGGCACTCGTAGACGTATAATTAATCATTAAATGTATAGAGAGAAGCGATAAGAAGTAAATTTCAGATTAGTGCCTCTGTTTGTGAATAACAGAAGAGCTGTTTGGAGGCGTAATGATGTATATTAAATATTTCAATTGAATCCTGACCCTCTTCCAAAGGACAAATAAGCAAACAGATAATTTAAACATACATTTTCTATAACATATATTTTACCTTTTTTTTTTATTTTTAAATATCTTTTCTAAGTATCTTTTTATTCTTAAAAGCTTTTCTTTTAGACTTTGTTGTCGTTTTTTACTTCTTCTTCTTTTTCTTCTTCTTCTTCTTCTTCTTCTTCTTCTTCTTCTTCTTCTTCCTTTTTCTCTTTTTCTCTCACAGATGTCTATTTCCATTAGAACGCCGAACGGCGCTTTCTGCTTTCTAAGTTCGTTCTTTCCAATATTCTACTCCAAAATACGTAAAAACTTGGGAAAGTAACCAATGGTATCCACATGTTGTCAAATGATGAAGCTTTGAACTCTAAGATTGTAAACAATAGACGCGTCTTTCTCTTTTTCTCCCCCTCTCTTTCTTTTTCTTCCTTCATTTAAGACTTTGCACTTCACGCCAATTGTTACAAGTTTTTACCAGAATCTTTCAGTACTCCTTTCTCGATTTAGCATGTTCCATATGAAATCCGCTTGCTTTTCTCCAACTTGGACGTTATTTTTAAAAGTACTTTATACAACTTTTTTAACCACGCAATAACGATCGAACTTTTATATTGTAACACTGTATTCTCGTATTTCTTTTCTCGTATTGCTTTGTAATTTCATATTTATTTTTATACTAATGTTTCCATTTTCATTCTCTACACTATTCTACGGTATCGCAAACTTTTGCTTTCCGTCTTTATTTTTCAAATATTTTACTTCAATCTTTTTATACACGGGCATTCTCAGGTAACAATCACACACAGTGGTATAATATATTGTTAAATCTAATTTATCAGGATATACAATCCTTATAATCGCTGAAACCACGACTGAGACTCGTGGCTATTATTATTATTGCTCCTATTGTACACTTCTCGTTATCTCAAATTGACTTGTATCAAGTATCCCTCAAATGTATTTTCAGCGGCTTGTCGCTCATTAGAGTCCTCTTCCTAAGACATTAATAAACGTTTCACTCGTTCGTTCACATTCGCTCCTCTTTTCTCACTCTCTATGTCTGTAATGGGAAACTCACACTTAGGCAAAAGGGAGAGGATAAAAGCTCCGCGCACTCCGAGTGCAACGGCGGTGGCGAAGAGGAAATTGGTTCGTATCGACCTCGTAAGTCCCCGTTTCTCTCTCTTTCTCTCCTCTCTCCCTCCATCTCTCTCTCTCTCTCTCTCTCTCTCTCTCTCTCTCTCTCTCTCTCTCTCTCTCTCTCTCTCTCTCTCTCTCTCTCTCTCTCTCTCTCACTCTCGCTCTCTCTCTCTCTCTCTCTCTCTCTCTCTCTCTCTCTCTCTCTCTCTCTCTCTCTCTCTCTCTTTCTCCCCTTCCCCCTTTCTCTATCTCTTTCTCCTTCTCAAATCGTATAATACGTGGCAGCGGTCGAAGCGGTCTGTACGCTGGCGGTACCTTAGGCCTCCAGTCATGCACGATCGTTATCTTGTCGAATGATTTCACTGTTTGATTAAAGTTTATAATATATAATGCGAGCATAATGTATACGGATGTACAAGGGAAGCACCCGTGATGTAATATAGCGTATCTCAACGTGATACCGCGACCCGAAAACTTTGTTGGACAGAAATATTATATCGTATGTTACGGATATTAAGCGTGTTGCGCAATTGCAAAACTCTTCGTTGAAGCTTACCATTCATTGAATTTTCAAAGTATTATTCATAACTACATTCAAGATTTATGCTGCCGCATAAATGATATGTACTTTGAACAAACATATACACTCAATGTTCAACTTGACAGAGATCGTTTGAGAGTCGCTAGAATGTAAAGTCACGTAGTAATATTACATCCTCGCAAATTCCGACATCGATTGCGCGGCTCGAGGATGCACATAATCGTACGTTGCAGTATTTATATCCGAGAGTCTATACGCGGAGGCCGGGTCAGAGGTTCGTTACGACGCTCATTGAAGAACGCGGAAATAATCGATTAAAATCTCTTTAATGTTTACTACTGCGTAAAGTCGAGTCGTGAAAGAGTCAATAAAATCGCATCCATGGATCAGACATACCGAGGATATTACTTTCGCAAAACTCTTTTCCCGCTTTGTGTTCTGGTAAAAGGGCGCAATTGCATTGCCGTTCGATCGAGCAATTAAACAGATTATTGTTTAGATATTAGTGGAATAGTAGGGAAAATGAAAGAAAAAAGTAAACGAACGTGGCCCGGGAATTTATTAGAAAAAATATATGAGACTATACTCCGAAGAGACATAAGCACGTTTTCGCGATTACATTTATCAGAAATTATTCTGCGCGTAGACTCAGGAGAGTGATTTATTTTGCGAGAACTAGCAATTAGTCGTTTTTTCGTGTTCAGCGACAATCTCGTCGGCACGAAAGCTTCGAAACAAATGGAAATATCATGGTAATATCATGGCACTATTAATTATCATTATACGTCAGGCTACATGCGCAGAGTAGCGCCACGTCGTTCATCGCTAACTCATATCACTGAGCCATTAATGCAGCCGCGCATTTTTCCATTTTAACGCACGTGTTCTAAATCCACGCAAGGATTTATTGAAATTCATGTTACGAAAAAAATGCTCTGCAAAAATCACACGCGCCTGTAAATTCTACGGAGCAATTTGTATCTGAATATTTCGAAAGAGTTGCCACACGAATTATTCAGTTGTGCTTATTTATTGAAAAGAAACACGTTAGATGAAACACGGTTTTGAGCGTGTGCGCTCACGCGGGAACAGAAAGGGAGAGTATTCTCTGCTCTCCTTTACGAGTTATGAGATTAATAGCATTTTATTAATGAGAGAAATGAGGGATCGAAGCAGTTGAGCCAGAAAAAACAGCGACGCGGTGCGGCTTAGCGGCTTCCGGATTTATCCGAGATATTATCGTTCTGCAGAAAACGTGAATGAAACCTACGTTGTTACATCGTTAAAGACGCAATCAGGTTTTTCACGCATCGAACTTTCTAATAAAGCGAAGAAACTTTGTCCCGTCACTCAACCGGTAAATCCTTGTACCTTAATAAATTTCCAGGACTTTACGGCGAATGCAATATCACTCCTCGTCACCCGCTCGTTGCGTGCGACGCGATACCAACTTCAAAATAGCTGTGAAGGAATTACCGGAAAGAAGAAAGTTTCTAGTATCGGTGTACACACTCCAAGACTCCTCAGTATATTCTCAATTCCAGAAATCACAGCGATTGTTGCTCGAGTTCTCAAAGTCGTATAACGACGTTGCGAATACTATACGACAACAGCAAAATGACAGCGATAGCAAAATATTCTTAAACACGAACAAAACACTTTTTCATCTCAGTCGCACAAAATTACAAAAACTTTTGCGCGATAAACGGTCATACGTCATTAAATTGGACGAAGGTTCAACTTATGACGAAAAAACAAGTGTTTCTCTAATTTTATTTTATATATATAAAACCAGACTGAGAGAGAGAGAGAGAGAGAGAGAGAGAGTTGTACCGCTGTACATAGATAGAATAACTGCTTGCTGAAGCTTTAGAACCTGGCTTTGTTAGAGCCTACGATGAAAGGATTGCAAAAATGAAAACATCTGTACACACGAGAGTGCATTTCCTACTAACAGCGAGATCATACATAGATTTAACGATGACTCTGCATAGTAATATTCCGTTCTCTATCTTCCTGCGCATAAAAACGCTCGAGATTACAGCTTACAACTTTCTCGTGACAAAGAGCGGTCTCCTCCCTCATTTTTATAGCGAGCTGATACGAGGACAGAGAGAAGTTAAACTTTGTCTGTGCGTTTCTCGAATAATGGATGCAACGTCCGGCTCGCGTTAGACGACGTGCATATCCGCTCTCATATTTCCTTCTACATCCTATGCATTTTCTCTGTGTTTCGAAACTCTCTCTCTCCCTCTCTCTCTCTCTCTCTCTCTCTTCAGATTAACGAGTGATAATTCTCCCGTTACAATCCCGACCGACATCTCTGTCACGTTCAAATATTGTTAACTGCCTGGCTACTGGTACTTACGTCGTCCTTGCCTTTTATGTGTTTCGCTGTTTGCAGCGGCACGGTCAACGGACACGTCCGTGTGCGTAAGATTTCGCCATTGTTATGGGAATGTCCCGCGTGTCGTAAATTACTAAACGTATCTCTCAATGTTACCGCTGCCTGCACACGTAAACTACACTGAGAATAGAGATAGCGGAAAATGTAAAGCTTCCAGTGGAAGAACGAACGAGGCGAGGCGGACCTACGAAGCGTCAGATATGCCCGCGATGCATTATAAACGAATAGTAGTCCAAAGCATTATGAACGAATATATAGTATCGCGATATATCTCCACCGGCGGATTTGCGCAGCGCTACAAAGTAGAGACGCGTAGCATCATTTCAAATAATACGAGTCTTTTTTCTTTCGATCTGTCGAGATCCACCAGGCTATCCTTCTTCAAAGGTACGAAAATATGCGATCCTTAGATGTCTCTGGATTGGTAGCATGTTGATGGCAGACCTACGTAGTTCAGCATTTCTACATTAGAATCGTGCGTATCGTGATAAAATCAAAGGGTATGTCTCTTTGGGCGCGTTTAAAATAGCGTAGGTCCTCGTCATTTCGGCGGATACGTTATTGACAAGCGCTGGAGCACGCAACATCCGACGGTAGGTAGAAACGCGAATCGTCATTGCGTCTGACACTTTAATCGACGC